AATCCCTGAGGGATGAGCTTCCCCAAATCCCCGCGGGAGCTCTAGGCTTGACTTGGCATGTGCTGTCAGACCCCTCACACTCCCCAGGGTGGAGTAATTCCATAACCCCAGTCCTTGCCCCTGAGCTGGAGTGGGAATTGATTTCCAGCTGGAGGAACGTCTGAAAGTCAAACCAGTCACATCCCAGTTTCTATCCATGCTCCTCCACGCTCATCAGCAGTTCCACCCTTGCCCTGTGTCATCCTGACAGGATTGGAAGGGATTCTCTTCGAAGCAGGAGGTAAGAAAGGAAACAAAGGGGGATCCCAGACAGCAAAGGCTTTCCAAGACTGGAAGGGGAACATCCATGTGGAGAATCCACCTGACAAGGGTCCCTCCTGTCCTAACACCTCTGAGCATTCCTGGCTTCCCTCTCTTTTCCCCTGCTGACTCGTTTTGGGTGATTGCAGACAAGGAGCAGCTGTGGCTGCCCCAGCCCTGGGAGTGTCCCAGGCCAGGCTGGGGCCCCCTGTGCTGGTGGGAGGTCTCCCTGCCCACGGCAGGGGGTGGGATGAGGTGATTCTTAAGGTCCCTTCCAGCCCAACCCATTCCATGATTCTGTGCTGATCCCCCCAGGCAGCCCTGGCACAAAGGACTCTCCACCTCAGCTGCTCTGGGGGGTTTCACTGTCAGCCCACACCTTTGGTCTCCTCAGGTGCTTCACACAGTGCCCTGCTTTTCCTCTCCTTTAAACAACAACTATTGCTGCCTTGCAGTCAGCTTTGGGGGCAGAGGGAGGGGTTTGTTACCTCATCTTGTGTCTCTCTTTCCCACAAAAGCAGCTAAAGCAGATTAAAACGTTCCATGTGCTCAGGAAATGCTGCAGCCCCACAGCCAGCCCCTGGGAACAAAGTGTCCTGGCACGTTGTGGAGCCTTGGCACAGGTGTTATCAGAGAACACTGAACTGCTTTTGGACACATTTGACACAAAATGTTTGGTCTTAAAGTTCTGGCACCTTTTTTTAGGGTTTTGGGGTTTTTTTTTGGGGGGGGGGGATGTTTTTTGTTTGTTTGTTTGGGAGCTGCTCCTGGTGACAATCCTGTGGGGTCACTGCTTCATCTGCAGTAATGAAGCCAATTAAACACTACCTGGGTGATGAGGCTATTTTAGTCCAGGGAAACCTGGATATTTTTGGAACTAAGTCTTCCAAGCTTGTTTCCTGTACTGCTGATCATACAAGAGCTGATCAGAGTGCTGGTGCCTTCCTGTCCCTGTGCTGAACCCCAAATCCAGGGCAGCCTGGCAGGGAAATAGTGCAGGTGCACATTTTCTGGCTGTTTATTGCCTGTCACAGTCCTGAAAGCAAGAGCTGAAGGTGCAGAGAAGTTCAGTGGTTGGAGTTTGTCTCGTGGAGTGTTCTTGTTCCTGCACAGTCCCTGAGCTGCAGGTTTGGGAGCCTTTGGGATTGTTCCAGTGAAAGTTTGGCCAATAAAGCTTCAAACATTAACAATTTCAAAGTGCAATTACCACACTCTGAGCAGGAGGCCCTTGATGAACAAGCTCAGAGCAGGTGCTGGCAGCAAGTGAACGTTGTCATTGTGCAGATAAATTATAAACTTGGTTTCAGTATTGCAGACGAGCTTCTCTCCTACAAAAATATCAGAGAATGAGAAGGATTTTATCAGCACATTCTGACTTTGTACTGTTCTCTTTGAAAATGTGCTTTAAAGGACACGTTTAAAGGGAGAAGTACAGAAGAAAGGGGGGTGGGAGAGGAAAAACCATTTTACTCTGGTCCCCCTTCTCAGCTAATCACACCTTTAATTTTTTTTTCTGCTTAGTTGGGACCTCTAAGGGTTCAGATAGATGAATGAAGAGGTGAAATGCCTCTAACAAGGCTGTTATCCTGATTTTTGAAATGCAAATATAAAACATTTCTTAAAAGCAAATATAAAAGGGAACAGGGGATGTTTTCCTCACATCTTTTCCAGTCTTCAAAGGAGAGACCTATAACCAATTTTGGCTGTGTTGGCTCTTAAAAGCTTTAAGTAATGGGGGGAAAAAAAGACTTTAAAAAGCTTAAAAGCCTGAAATCCTCTAAACAATCACTGCCATTCCCTCTGTTTTTTCTTGGAGGTTCTCTGGACACAGCCCTGACACCTGCTCTGTGAGCAGGGATTGCCCTGGACACCTCCAGACCCTCCCAACCCCAGTTCTGTGGGAAGCACGTGGAATGTGGGTGTTGTGTGTCCTAAAACTCCTTTTCAGCTGCCATTGATGCTCTTGGGAAACCTTTTCCTTTGCTGTGTGGATGTTTTTCATCCAGCATCCAAGAAACTTCCCTGGCTCCAAAGGAATGTTTCCTGCCTCATTCCCGGATTTGGAAGCAATGAGCTTCCCTTCCCAGTAAGGAATCTGGGAATTCCCTCACAGCCCATCCAGCTGCAACTGGCTGCTCTATCCCTAAGGATACCTGTCAGTCAGCTTTGTCTTTCCTTATGCATTTTGGAGCTGCACATTCCTCTCTCCAGATCCCTGGAATGGTTTCCTTCACTCATGGATCTGCTCCCGGAACAGCTCAGGGAACTCTCAAGGCTGTGGATGTCACAAGGAGGCATCAGAGCAGGCTAGAGTGTCCTAGATCTGTGGGAGCAGCAGGAGGAAGAGGAAAGTCCTTCTGGGAGACCCTGCACTGAATATTCTTGATACTCTCTGTGTCCTCTTGTAGGCCAAAATAATTCCTTTCTCTTAAGATGCAGGCTGAGATCTTGGCAGAAATATCTTCGTTCTGGGGTTCAAAGGAACAAAATGTCTTTGGTGGTGCCTGAAGTCTTTAGTTCTTTCTCATTTAGACATCTGGCCCCTGGTTTTAGTGGTTTAGAGCCTCTTACTGAAGATGGAACTGCATCAGGTATTTATAGCCCTGGGTGGGTCTTGGAAGTCATTTAAGTAGCCTCAAAAAAACACCAGCAGGACTTTTCCTCAAGAGGGGACACAGAGTCCCTCTTTCCATGGGGATTCCTGGCTGGAAGAGGCTGAGAGAAGCTGAGGGGGCTCCTGCCAAGCCCCACTATCCCCCCCAGGACAAGCCCAGCTTCCCTGGAACCCACAGTCCTTCAAGGAACTCCCTAAAAGCTGCCTTTGAACCCCCTAAAAGCTGCCTTTGAACCCCCTAAAAGCTGCCTTTGGACCCCCTAAAAGCTGCCTCGTGGCCCCTGGCAGAGAGCAGAGCAGGGCAGGGGCTTCCTGGGCAGGAGAGGCAGCTCTGAGGGGCCATGTCCCAAAATCTTGCCAGGCTGGGATTGCCTCAGAGCCCAGATGTGCCAGGTGCTCTGGAAGGGGGGGATCCATGAAGTGCGAGGGCACTGAAAGGGGGTTCCAAGGCTCTAAGGGGGATAAATGAGGTGAGGAGGTTCTTGAGGGGGATAAGTGAGGCGCCAGAGCTCTGAAAGGAGGGTACGGGAGGTGCCAGGGCTCTAAAGGGGACACATGGGGTGACAAGGCACTAAGGGGGGAATAAGGGAGGTGCCAAGACTGAGAGGGGACACATGCGATGACAAGGCTGTGACTTTGTGGCAGCAGCCCCTCAGCGTCTCCTGAGGCCCCACTGCCCCCAGGATCTCTGGCCCTCAGGAGGCCACAGCAGCCAGGTGGGGATGTCCCCTCTGAGACCTGCGGCTTTGGGGGGGCTCCCAGGAAGACCCCAACTTCTCCCAGTGGATGGGGGGCTGCCCTGCCCTCCCTGTGGGAACCCGGGTGGATCTTGGGGGATGAGCCTGGGGGGATCTGCTGCCCACCCAGAGTGTGGACACCTCGGTGACAAAGGCATTGGACACACCTGGCTTTGCTCCAAGATTTCCTTTCAGCAATGAACCCTCCACAAATTACATATATATATATGTATCTATAACGTATTCTATATATTATATTATTGTGATATAGTAGAATACATTTCTATGTATAAGATATGTAATGTATTTCTATGTATAATACTTACATATTTCTATGGATGTATATCTACAGCAGATTGCTGCTGCTGCTGGAGTTGCAGTACAATGGTATTTGCCTTGAGTTAAAACACTCTCTGGGACACAAGCAGGAATCTTGCTTGCCTTAGCAAAAAGGGCAATTAACGGCGCGTTAATTAGCGAGGGGCTGTGCAGCCCAGCGCGCTCGAAGGGTTTTAAACAGGGGGGCGGCAGAGTTTGCAGCAGCAAAGCGTAGCCTGCGGCTTCAGGAGTCGAGAAATTCTGCTGCAGAGGTGCAAAAATATAGCCCGAAAGAGTTTTGCGAAGGAAATCTGAGGAAAACGGACAGTTGGGGCAAGAATTCCTCCTTCCCGGGAGGAAAAGGTGAAGCTTCCCATACCGGGAGTCGAACCCGGGCCGCCTGGGTGAAAACCAGGAATCCTAACCGCTAGACCATATGGGAGGCGCTGAAACTTTTTCTCCTTGGGCGCCTCAAAACTCTACCGCCTGGCCCCGCTACCGCGCGGAGCAGCGCTGCTACGGTGGGCCCTGCTCCGCTGCCCCGTGCGCGCCCCCGGGACCGCCGGGAATCGCTGGGATCACCAGGGCACCCTCGGCACCGACCCCTGCCCTGTGCGCGCCCCCGAGACCGCCGGGAATCGCTGGGATCACCAGGGCACCCTCGGCACCGACCCCTGCCCTGTGCGCGCCCCCGGGACCGCCGGGAATCGCTGGGATCACCAGGACACCCTCGGCACCGACCCCTGCCTCGTGCCAGCAAAGGGCTGCCCTCACTCAAGATGGCGGCCGGGGCTTCCTGACGGAGTGGAGGGGGGGACGCGCGCGTGGCGGGCGGGGCGCGCTCGCGCTCTCACGTGACCGGCGGCGGCCGCCCCACAGCGCTGAGTCCCGTGAGCCGCGGCGGGGGGGACAGGGACACGGCGGGATAAACTGGGACATACCGGGACACACCGCCGGGATACACCGGGATACACTGCCGGGATAAACTGGGACACGCCCCCGCCCGGCCCCCAGCGCCGCCGCCGCCCGACTCCCCGGCGGCCACAGCGGCACCGCCCCCGGCCGGCCCGAGCCGCCGCAGGCACCGGGGCCGCCCCGGCACAGCCCCCCGAGCCCCCAGCGCCGCCGCAGGTACCGCGGGCACCGCCCGGCCCGCGGGGAGGCCGCTGCGGGGCCCCGGGATGGGGGCGGGGAGGGGATGGAAGGGGAACCGGGGAAGGGGCTCTGGGGCTCTCCCACTGGAATGCACTGTGGAATATCCTGGGGAAGGAGCGTCCCCAGGGGAGGGAAAGGGCATCCCGGGGGAAGGGGCTCTGGGGCTATCCCAGTGGAATGGGCGGTGGAACATCCTCGGGAGGGGGCTTTGGGGACATCCCAAGGGAAGGGACGTCCCCTGGGAAGGGGCTGCAGAACATCCCGAGGGAAGGGACATCCCCTGGGAAGGGGCTGCGGGGGGTGTCGGCCCCTCCCGGCCCGGCCGCAGCGATCTCGGGATTTCGGGAACGCGGAGGTTTCCCAACAGCGGGAGTTCCCCATGGCAGGAGTGGGGGGGCTGTGCCAGCGCTCTCTCGGCGCTGCCGGCAGTGGGATCGGGATGGGCGAGTGGTGATCCAAGGAAAGCAGCTATCCAAGGTGGGCTTCTCTCGGCAGGTGTGTGATGCCCAGCACAGCCATGAAGAAGAAGGTAAGGACTGGGAGGGGGGTCCTGTGCTGTTGGGTTTTCCTTCCCTATCCGGGAATGTCATCGTTTGTTGTGTCCGTCCCTCTGGGGCTCAGGTGCCTTGGAAGGCTCTTGGAATCAGTGGCTGCATCAAGTGCCAGACATTAAAATTGGGTTAATTCCTGGCTGATTGCAGGGCTGTCCACCAGAACTGTGGGCAACTGTTTCTGGGGTGTGTTGCAAAACCCTCTGCAAACCCCCGTGCTCAGCGTGGGGGAAGAGGATCTGCTCCAACCCACTTCCTTGGCCCTTCCAAGAGGGCCCTTCCAAGGGGAGAGCCTTCCAAGGTGTCCCAGGAGCTCGGTGGGGAGCCCATATTTTGCTCAGGAAGCATGGAATTTAAGCCTTGGGGAAGGAGCAGCTCCTCTGGGAATTGAAGGGGTGGATGTATTCCAGCAGAAGCACATCCAAAGCTGTTAAAGGGGCTGTGTAGGGAATAGGTGGCTGGTTTTCATGGTGTGCTAGGATTGGGTTTCCTGCCTGCTGGTTGATCCCTTTGCAAGGCCTCTGCAGCCCAAAACTTGGGCTTTGGGTTTGTCTGTGGGCTGGATCCTGGCTGTGGTGCTTGTGCTGGTGCTGTGAAATGGGTGCTGTGCTACCTTCCCTGGGATGAGCTCAGGGGACAGCACAGCCTTTCTCTCTCAGGGACAGGCCTTGTTCCCAAATCCTGGAGGCCTGGGCAGGGCTCTCTCAGCCTGGGAGGAGCTGCAGGAATGACTGGAGTGAGCAGGAGGTGGAATTCTGCCATGATGTTCCCATGAAATTGTGGCAGCTCCTACTGTGCTGTCACAGAGAGAGGGTGGCAGTGGAGCAAGTGCCCTCCCGGCTGGTGTCCTGCTCTCCTTAAACTGCCCCTGCTCTCCTTAAACTTCTCCTTGACGGGAGACTTCCAAAGCTGTTGGATTTGGCTCTGTAACTGGAACTTGTTTAACAGCTGGGTTTTGTGAGCAAGTCTGTGTTGGCTGCTGCTGTTGGTTTGTTTTGTTTTTTTTATTTTTAGATCACAGTGTCAAGTCTTGCCTTGTGGGACTGTCTCCTGTGGGACTGTCTCCCCTCATCCCCACTCCCCAGGCCTCAGCATACCCTACTTTTTGGTACCTCTCCTTTGGCCTGATGTCCTGCAGACAAGATTCTGGACTCGGGTGTCCCCCATACACTGTGCCCTTGACCTGGGCTGTCCTACCTGCTTTTAACTTCTTTTTTTTTTTTTTTTCTGGTCTTGTAACCCCTGAAACTTCAATTGCCACTGGTATTTCACTTCTATTGGGGAAGAGAAAACAAGTCATGTTATGAGAAGAAGAACTGGATCAGATGATCTTTTATGTCCCTTCCAACCCAAACCATCCTGTGATTAGGATGGGGGGAGGGATTGTTTCCAGTCTGGCCTTAAAGGCTTGAGACAAAGCTGTTCCTCTGTCCTGGCAAAGCCCTGTGCTGCCATCAGAGCCATCAGGGCTCCTGCTGTGGTACCAGGGCAGGTGTGAGGGGCTGGGAAAGGGGGAGGCAGCTCCTGCTCTTCCCAAGTGCTGTGCTGGGAGAAGGTGTTCAGTCTGACCACAGTCCAGTGCCCATGGATAGCAAGGAATTAAGGGTGTCCCAGGCCTGGTGCTGCTCTTTGCCAGTCTCCTGGTGCAGTCCCAGCTGAAAGGTGTCAGTGCTGTGTTTCTGTGGCTTTGGCAGTGAGACAGCAACCAGAGAGGGCTGTGAAGGCCTTAGTGCTGTTTCATACCTAATTCTTCCTGGTTTTTTTCCCCTCCCAGGTGCTGCTGATGGGTAAAAGTGGATCTGGGAAGACCAGCATGAGATCCATTATCTTTGCCAACTACATTGCCCGGGACACGCGGCGCCTGGGGGCCACCAGTAAGGCTGCTCTTGTCTGCACTCCCAGCTCTCAGGGCTCAAACCCCCTCATTAACAGGGTGGGACCGTTCCCTGCAGCAATTCCTGCCTCTCCTCTGGAGTAGGTGTGTCCCTGCTGGTCCTCCCACTGCCACACCTCACAGGGAGCTCCCTTGGGAGGTCAGTCGGGGACAGGCAGGAAGCTGGAGAGGGAAGGGGGAGGCAGCACTGCCTTCAGTTTTGCTACTTTGTTGACTGGGTCCACTTTTACTACTTTATTGTTTGACTTTTATCCTTAAACTTTTTTGTTTTGGGATCATGAAGCAGCTTTTGCTGCAGCTACACCTGTCAGTGGAGGAGTGTCAGAGCCTCCTCGTGCTCCTCCGTGTTGGTGGAGCATCCCTGTTGTATCCAGCTGATCTCCAGCACAGGGATCCTGCAATCCACTCATGGTTTTGGCAGGATGAAACACTGGGCTCAATTAGTGTCTTGTGCCTTTTCTTTTTCCCCTTCCAAGCAGCCATTGGTGGGAAAAAGCAAGAAGTGATTCCTCTGGAAGAGGGGGATGAATTGTCTCTATCTGACTTTCCTCACAGGGAAGGATTTAATGTGATGACTTAATGTCAGGGACTGGTGATAATTTGGCCTGTTCTGAAGTTTCCATTCTCTGTATTACTGGTTTATTTTGTCAAGGCTGGATTCAGGCCTCGCAGAGTTTGATGCAAATAAAATCATTCCTAAAATATCGCAGAGATCAGGGAGCATGTGGTTGAGGGGGGGCACCTGCTGCACTTCTCAGGAGAGCAGTGTCCTGGGCAGGGAGGCTGGAATTCCTGTGGGAAATGTCCAGCAGTGGTGTTTAGGTGGGATTTTACCAATTGGGGGCTGTGTTGGGAGAAATGGCCCATCCCTGGAAGTGTTCAAGGCCAGGTTGGGCTGAACTTGGAGCACCCTGGTGTCCCTGCCCATGGCAGGGGGTGGAATGAGATGGGCTTTAATGTCCCTTCCCACCCAAACCATTCCATGATTCTCTGCTGATCTTTGGAGGAGGCAGCTCTGATCCAGGTGTGTGGTACAGCCAGTAAACTCCTATTGTCTCTCTGCAGTTGATGTGGAGCATTCCCATGTCAGATTCCTGGGAAACCTGGTGTTAAACCTGTGGGACTGTGGAGGGTAGGTACTGTTTATTCCTCTCCTTTTCAGTCCTGTGGGGGTGGCTGTGGGGAATCAGTGAGGATGGAACACAGCAGATTCTGCTCCAAGGGAGTGTGGTGCTTGTGTGCCAAGAGAATCCTCCACCTGGGCTTCCTCCTGAGGTGCTGGGAGGTGCTGCTGCTCTTGGAATTGCCAGCTTGTTCCAAGTGGGGTGTGTGCAGAGGGGTGATGCTGAAGGTTGCCAGCAATCCTGTGGCTCCTGGAAGCAGCTTTTTGAAGAATGCTGTCCCTCTGATTGAGCCTCAGCTGAGCTTTGCTCAGCTTCCTCAGCTCCATGGCCTCATGCATCATCTGACCCACACTCAGCAAAGCCAGAGGAGACTGAAATCCTGGGATAACAGGCTAAACTGATACTTTGGTCATATTTTAGCTACTTCTGCTGCTGTGGGGGTTTTATAAGCTCTTTAGAAGCCAGTGTGGATCCAGAAGCAGGACATGGAGGGAAGCTGCAGCTTCAGGTGGAACTGGTGGGCTGATGCTCTTCAGGAACTCCCAGCTGTGCCTGGCAATGCTCAGGGATTGAGCATTCCGTGGGGATGGAGCTCTGCTGTGGGCTCCTGTGCTGGGATCTGCAGCTCCAAATTCAGGCCTTAAGATTTTACACTTAGTACCTTCCTGACCTCTCCAAGCATGTCCTGGCTGCTCTAACAGGAGTGTCCTTGCTCTGCTGCTCTGCTCCTCAGGCAGGACACCTTCATGGAGAACTACTTCACCAGCCAGAGGGACAACATCTTCCGCAACGTGGAGGTTCTCATCTACGTGTTCGACGTGGAGAGCCGCGAGCTGGAGAAGGACATGCACTACTACCAGTCCTGCCTGGAGGCCATTCTGCAGAACTCCCCAGATGCCAAGATCTTCTGCCTGGTGCACAAGATGGACTTGGTGCAGGAGGACCAGCGGGATCTGGTGAGAAGCTGGGAGTTGCCATGGAAATGCTTCTCCACGGAGCATCTCCTGCCTGTGCCGGTGCAGGGCCGTGTCACATCAAACACAGCCCTGCCAGGGCTGTTCCTCGAAGGGTTTCTCAGATATTCAGGCTTGGCAGAGCCCTCTGCTTTCCCTGCCTTTTTGAAGTGTGTCATCCTATAATGCTGTGGAGAACAGAAGCAGTGATTTTTAGTGACAACCACTCAAAGCCATTCCCTTCACAGTGCTGATTCCAGAGCTTCCAGCACACCTTGGCTTCAGAAGGGAGGTGGAACTGAAGGAAATCCAGCTCCTTAAACTCTCTGCCCACCATTTGGATGGTGGTGATGACAGTGAGGGTTGTTTTCAGCTCAGCTGCTGTTTTCAGCCCTGCACAGGCTCTGCTCTAAAGCATCACCAGAAAATAAGAGGTGAAACTTTCCCACCTAACCAGGAGGTGGTTTTTCTTTGTTGATCCTGCTCTGCCTGCCCAGAGATCCTCTGAAGCACACAAGCACCTAAACAAAGGCTGGGGATCAACCTTTCAGAGATGCTTCTGTTCTGGTTGGAGCTTTTGGAAGGTCACAGGGAGGTGGGAAGATGTTGAGTTCCTACAAACCTTCCTTTTTGTGCATGGACAGCTCCTGATACCCCAAGGGAGTTGAGCTGTGTGGGTCTGAGCACATCCCCAGCTGCTTGGCCACTCCCTGCCTTGCAGGGAGTTTGGAGACCAGGCTGCTGGTTTTTGTCAGAAATAAGAGGTTTTATTAAACTTTTTACCAGTTCCTGCTGAGTTTTGCCTGGGCACCTGCAGAGGGAACATGCAGGTCCTATGGCTGAAACCAGAGCTGACCTCTCTACACAGACAGACCTTTCCACGTGGCAGGTTGGCTTTGGATCCCTTGTCCTGCCTGAGAGCAGAGATCTTCCTCTTCCAGTTCTAGTTCTGCCCTCCAGCTCAGGGCAGAAACAGCTCAGAGCTGCTTCAGAGGGCTCAAGGAGCTTTTCCTCACTTCCCTCCAGGCTGAAGGATGAGTCTAAGATCTTCTTAGCTGCAGTCCTGTCCAGATTTGTGGCTGGACTAGGGCACAGTTACTGGTTTAACCAATGGCACAGACTCAGGGGAGGCCCTGAAGGGAGGGGTGGGCAGAAGAGGGGCCTTACCACCCCTCAAGACCTATTTTAGGTATCTGCTGCTCAGAAGACCTGCAAACACTGGGCTAAATCTCCGTTTCTGTAGATCTTAGTGAGGCCTGTGGTGTCCAGGATCCACATGGCGTTGGCCCAGGATTTCATGGGGCTTGGTCCGTGTTCTGTCATGTTCCCACAAGGCCCAGGTGAGGGTGGTGGTTGTGTGTTCCCCTTGCTGGCTGTCCTGCTGCTGTCCCAGCATTTCAGAGGAGCCTGGCTGGGCTTTGCTGGTCCCCTGCTATGCTTTTTTGGTGCCCAGAACTTCTGAGGGCACAATGTGGTGTGGGCAGAGAAGTCTGTGTGAGCTCATCCTGAGGACCCTCAGGTGCTTTCCTCCCGTGCTGCTCTCAGTGATGGAGATTTTTGCCAGGGATTTGTCACAATTTAGGTCCTCAGGGACACTCCAGCCTGTCCACCTTCACTCCCACTTCACAACACCTGCTGTTATTTCAGCTTTGGGTCTCAGGGAAGTTCTGGATTCCCTGTCCCTAGAAGGTTGGACAGGGCTTGGAGCAGCCTGGGCTAGTGGAAGGTGACCCTGCCTATGGCAGGGGGTGGAATGAGATGAGCTTTGAGGTGCCTTCCAACCTAAACCAGTCCAGGATTCTCTAGCAAGAAAGACATCCATGGTCTGTGTGGCCCTGCTGCTCACTGGGAGCACTGGGAGCTGGTTTCTCCCAGCCTGTCCTGGACAGCTGCTCTGCTCCTGTCCCTTCTCCAGTGATCCATTTGAAACTCTTCCTGTAATCCCATACAGCAACCACAGCACAGGCAGAACTACTTCCACTCAACTGCTGCTCTGTCTTTTCATCTCCCAGATTTTTAAGGAGCGTGAGGAGGACTTGAAACGCCTCTCCCGGCCCTTGGAATGTGTTTGTTTTAGAACCTCCATCTGGGATGAAACCCTTTACAAGGTTTGTACAGCTGCCTCTCCAGATCTGCCTTCCCACTCGGAGCCAGGAGCATGAGGAGGGGAGTGGTGGTGTGGCAGAGACTGGCTCTGGTCAGTTCTGCAGCAGCTCCTTCTGGGGGGTGTAAATGGTGTCAGGGCATCCTGGGCTTGGTTAATTAATTTTAAAAAGTCAGGAGTGCTTGGCAAACATCAGGAACTCAGCAAACAGGCATCCCAAACATCCAACTGGCTCCTGGGGAAGGGCCTGGTCAGGCAGTGCCACACACTGGGTCAGCAGGGGGGCAGAGAGGGGGAGCTGAGCTGGGAGGATCCCAGTCTGGAGGAGGACAGATGTTGATCCCAGCATCCCCAGCCCCTCCTGGGCTTGTTCCTGGCTCCTTGGGATAGGGTGGAGCTCTCTGTTTGGAGCAGGGATGGGCTGCCAAGTATCCATCTGCGATCTGACCTTCCCCTAGACTGAAATACCTGGAGGATTGCCGGCTTTAAATGAGGATAGTTTAAGCCTCCTTAGGGGCATTATGGTTTCTCTGAGTGATGTGGAGAAGAACTTGAGGTGGTGAAGAGTCACCTCAGGTCTGGGCTTCCTCTGGTGGTGTCCACTGTATAAACTTCTCAGTGTTGCCTAGGCTGTCAACACCCAGAACTAAAAATAATCCCTCTCTGAGGACATTGGGAGCCAGAGAAGCGCTGGTGACCCTCATGTTGTGTGTGTGTCACCAGGCCTGGTCCAGCATCGTGTACCAGCTGATCCCCAACGTGCAGCAGCTGGAGATGAACCTGAGAAACTTCGCTCAGATCATCGAGGCAGATGAAGTGCTGCTGTTTGAGAGAGCCACATTTCTGGTGAGTTCCAGGGCCTAAAGGGGCTCCAGGAGAGCTGGAGAGGGACTGGGGACAAGGCATGGAGGGACAGGACACAGGGAATGGCTCCCCTCTGCCAGATGGCAGGGATAGGTGGGATATTGGGAAGGAGTTGTTGGCTGTGAGGGTGGGCAGGCCCTGGCACAGGTTGGGCAGAGAAGCTGTGGCTGCCCCTGGATCCCTGGAAGTGTCCAAGGCCAGGTTGGAGCAACCTGGGCTGGTGAAAGGTGTCCCTGCCTGTGGCAGGGGGTGGGATGGGATGAACTTTAAGGTTCCTTCCCACCCAAACCACTCTGGGATTCCATGGAAGTGCTGTTGGGAGGTGCCAGCCCCACAGAACACTTTGATCCAGCCCTTGGGATACTGAAAGTAGCTGATATGACTCTGTGGCTCATGGGACCTTCCCAAAATTCCCCCTTCCAGCAGCTGAGCTGAGGCTTTATTGGTGTTTCCCTCTTCGAGGCTGTGAGAGTGTTTCATGTCCCCATTCTGTTCTTGGTCATGGGACTTTGAGAATTCCTTTCTGCACAGGGCAGGAGCCTCATTTAGCTTGAAAAAGAAACCTTTTCAGTTCCTCCTGCTGTGACATTTGAACTGGACTTGATTTCTTTTGGGTTTGGTGTTCTGCAAAGCCAGGATATGGATAAAGGATCATGAGCCACTGGGTTGCAATATTTTTCCAGGTTCTTGTGCTCCCAGTCCCTGCCTCCTGCAGGTGAAAGGTGCTGCTTAAAACCACCATTGCTACTTGTCCATCCCCACTCTTGGATTATGGATTTGGCTCCTCAGTGTTTACCCCAAAACTCTTGCTGAGCTGAAGGAATGAGTCTGAATTTTTTTCAGTGCTTTCCTTGATGGTGATTTGGAAATAACGGAGGGGATGTGGGGAAGGAGCCACGACTCTTCCCCCTTCTTAAACTATCAGATGCAAACACCTGCCATGTCTGGCAAGTTCTGCTTTTTGACCTCTTGTAGATAATAAATAGTTCCACCTTGGGGGTGTGTAACAGTATGATTGTTACAAGGACATTTTTAACTGAAAATTAATAATCTTTGCTACAAAACTTCTACTCTTATTTTCAGTGTAATGGTGACTTTTTAAAAGACTCATCTCCCTTTTTTCCATACAATTATTAAATATATGAATAATAATATATATTCATATATAACAATGTATTCCATATATATATAGAATACATTAAAAAGTCCCCAGGACTTTTTTCTCCTGAAGTGAAATCTTAACTCTGAAACTCTTACTGTGGAATCTTACTCTGTAAACCTGATTCTGAAATTGTATTCACATCATAGTTTAAAAAAAAAAAACAACTCATCTGGGATGTTAAGGAAGGAGCTTCACAATGCAACCCTTGAATCTGGCTAAACCTGTCCTGGTGGGAATAATTGGGCAGGTTTAAAGAGTGATCGTTTTAAGGTGCTTAAGGGACAAAAAGAGGAAAAAAAAAACCTTAAAAAAAACATTAGTTCTCCTAAGTCACAAATGTCACTCCAGAGTTTCACATCCTTGTGCAAGGGCACGGTGAGTAACAGTTGGTTTTGTGATTCTGAAGAGCTGAAAATACGTGGCTTCAGGTTTTTTAAATATTCCTCTTTGCTTTGCTGGGGGAATGGAGATGGTGCAGCTCTTTGTGCCCTTCCCTCCTGCAGTAAATGCAGTTCTTGGCCTGTTCCTGATGTGGCTGGGGGAGAAGGTTTGGGGAGAGATCCCTCTGCAAGGATTCCTAAAAGGCTTCAGACCCCCTGAACGTTCAGTCCAATCCTGCAAATGCTGCTGGATTTGTGTGGGAAGAAGAGGAGGGAAGTGCTGTGGATGAGGCAGCTCAGTGCTGGTCTGACTGGACAGAGCTGAGGAATCCAGCTGCCTTTGTGCTGCTTTTCTCCTGGAGGAACGGCTTGCTCTGGCTCTGGGAGCTCTGTCTGTGCAGGTTGGGCAGTGTTCAGGTTCAGCCCTGGGAATCCACAGCACCTGGGACTGAGAAGGGAAGAGCCATCCCAGCACTTGGCAGGTGTCCCTTCCCGAGGTTGCTTTTTTTTCCTTCTCCTTGCACATTCTTTTACTTTAAATCAAGATTTAAGTTGCTGCTAAGTTGGAGCACCCAGACCTCAGGTGGACAATTCCCTATTGACAGGCTTTGTGTGTGTGAAAAAGGCTCCCTGGTGATTGTGTTACTGACTCCTGTTCCTCAGTGAAAGCACCACAAGAGCTGTTGCAAATAGTTCCCAAGATTCAATCAGCCAAAGGCAAAGGGAATCCTGGTCACCACCCATTCCCAGAATTGCTGTTGGCACTGAGGGACCTGTGCTGGAATCACTGACTGACTCTGCCCCCTCTCCAGGTCATCTCTCACTATCAGTGCAAAGAGCAGAGGGACGTCCACAGGTTTGAGAAAATCAGCAACATCATCAAACAATTCAAGCTGAGCTGCAGGTGAGCTGATGTGATCAGGAGTGGGGAGATACCTCATCAGGGATTTTGGCTTGGTGGGACTCTCCAGTGAATCCCAGTTCTGTGCAATTGTACTGGGCTTAAGCACAGCTCACTTAAGTGTTGCTTTTTTGAACTTCCTGATGGTTGAAGAGGTTGGTTTGTTCTGAAACAGCTGTTTTCTCCTGGGCAAGGGAGGAAAGTTCCAGGATAATTCAGTGACAGTGTTTGGAATGTCAGGTGGAGAGCTCTGCTCCAGCCCTGGGCTGGCTGGGCAGGAAGAGGCTTCCAGGCACTATTTATCTGTATATTTTGAGTAGAAAAGTGGAAAGTTTTGGGGCAGCTTAGCTTTGAACAGCCTCCAGGCTCTGCAGTCTGGTTATACCTGGCAGTGTGTGGAGCCTGGGTGGATGGAGAGGTGGCTGCATGGTTTACAGGTGTTTCTGATGTCTCCAGATGTTCCAGTTTTATTCTTATTTCTGCTGGGTCCTCCAGAGTGTCCAGGCTGTGTGTCTGGAGTTTCCTTCACTGTTCAATGCTTAAATCACTTTATACTGTTCTCATTTAGCCCAAAGCTAAAGAGTTGTGTCCTTAAAAACCAACCCTGCTGTGGTCACACCTGGTTTTCCCTGCCAAGCGGGAATTCAAGCTCCTCTTTGTTCCCAACAGCTCAAATAAGGGATTTTGGCCATGTGGGCACAAAAGCTGCTTGAGCAGTGGTACAGGAATAATTAATTGACTTTTTTTTTCCTTTATTTCTACTTTTTCAGTAAGCTGGCAGCCTCTTTCCAGAGCATGGAGGTCAGGAACTCTAACTTTGCTGCTTTCATCGACATCTTTACATCCAACACATATGTGATGGTGGTCATGTCAGACCCTTCCATACGTAAGTTGAAGCCAACATAAGCCTGTTCAGGACAGGAAAAAAAAACCCAATAGGCCAAAATGAGTCCAGTTTCAACTGTAAAAATGAGATTTAATTACAAAACTGAAGAGGAGAGGGATTGAGTGGGGTGGGGAGGGTGGGTGAGCACTGACTCTGCAGAGGTGGGGCGTGCTGGGACAGCTGAGCTGTTGCTGTCACGGGGAAGATCTGTGACTGTGAGAGGAACCACCAGAACAGATGTGACCTGGTTTAGCAGGTCATGTCTAATAACCTATTTTGGGCTGTTCTGGGCTGGCAGCCCCGGTGAGTTTTGAAGAGGAAGCAGGGATGGATCATGTTGGAGTGTTGCTCTTGGTGGACAGGACTAATTATAGCAGCATCTATTTATCCTGAAGGAGAAGCTGCAGCAGTGCCAGCCCAGGCCCTCTGGGACCAGTTAACTGTTTACACAGCTCCACTTGGAGCTCCTGCTGGGATCTGAGGTGCTCCAGAGACACTGTCCAGGACACCTCGTGCCTCACACTGTGCTTGGCCTTGCATTTGTTACTGAAATAGGGAAAAGTGTGTGCCTGAGGCACAGCTGGGACAGGGCTGAGCTGGGAAGCAGTAGATGGGCAGTTATGGGGGCTTGTGCAGCTCTCCCCGTGGCTGGAATTCACTGGGCTCTTCCTCGTGGTGTTCTGGGATCAGCAAACAGCCCAGACCCCCCACTGAACTGTGCCCAGAACCTCCAACACTGAATTGTGCCCAGACCATCCCACACTGAATTGTGCCCAGACCATCCCACATTAAATTCTACCCAGACCCTCCCACATCAAACTGTGCCCAGACCATCCCACATTAAATTGTGTCCAGACCCCCCAACACCGAATTGTGTTCAGACCATCCCACATCGAATTCTGTCCAGACCATCCCACATTAAATTTTGCCCAGACCATCCCAACTGAATTTTGCCCAGACCCTCCCACATCAAATTCTGCCCAGGCCTTCCCACATTAAACTTTACCCAGACCATCCCACATTAAATTCTGCCCAGACCATCTGGCATGAAATTTTGTGCAGACCATCCCACGTTAAATTGTGTCCAGACCATCCCAACTGAATTTTGCCCAGACGCTCCCACATCAAATTTTGCCCAAACACTCCCACATCAGATTTCCCCAGAGCCTCCCACACTGAATTGTGCCCATGGTGGGAGCAGCAGGATGAACCAGGACCTTGCAGACAGGGCTGTTGCCCTCAGGACGTGGCCACTGCCCCTTTTTAACTCCGTTTTATCTGCGCTGTCCCTTTTCCGTCGCAGCTTCCGCGGCCACGCTGATCAACATCCGCAACGCCAGGAAGCACTTTGAGAAGCTGGAGAGGGTGGATGGCCCAAAGCACAGCCTGCTCATGCGCTGATCCCAGCCTTTGGGGGCAGGAAGCGTGGATTGGGACTACTTTTTAGGAGAATCTAACACTGTCGATGTCTTTGTTGGGCTTTATGAGTGTGCTGCTTTGTTTTCTCTCCTTTCACGTCGGACACTAGAGGCTCAGAGGATGTCTGGATACACTGCGGACCTTCAGAGCCTTCCCTGGCACCCGTGAGCTTGGGAAGGAGGCAGGACAGGTGATGTGCCCATGGGCTGGTGCTCCCAGGTGGATGTTTGGCTGCTGGGAGGATATTTTAAGTCCCAGGAATATGGAGTATTTACTGGTTTCTTGGTCGGTTGCTGGAATAAGTTTATAAATTTCTCCTTGTCTTCAGTCATGAAAATAAATTTTTGCTACCAGGGATTTCAGATTCTACAGCTTTGGAAAGTGGGTTTGCTTTCTTCCAAAACCTGAGGCAGCTGTGGGAAGCAGATGTGCGGGAGCTGCATTTCTCCTTTCATGTTTTTGGGGGATTTGACTGGAAGCCATTCCAGAATTTCATTGGGAATTGCTGGCATGGTGGGTGGGAGCTGATGCTTGGTAGCATCTCTCTACCTTTTTTCTCTCTTGCTGCATCAAATTACTGTGTAAAAAGGGTGTGGTGACTCCAAGCCTGGCTGTGCCCCTGTATCCCTGCCCACACACCCACTGGGAGGGGAAAAATCCGACAGGGTGAGTCTGTTGGGTGAGGACAAGGAGCCAAAGGGCACCTTGGGCTGGAGAATGGAGGGGGCTCCACACAAACCATCCCATCCATTCTCCATCCTCCTGGAATTAACACCCATGTCTCACACCGCCCACCCTGCAGCTGCTCAGGCTGGGGGAGCTTTCAGTGGGAACCAGCCCTGTGGGAGAGGAGCTGTGAACAGTCCAGGAGCTTCTGGAGAACTGTGAATGGTCTGGAGATGGAGGGGTTGTGCTTGGCTGGGAATACCTGGAGTGGGAACAGCAGGTCTGGGTGGAGCAAACTCCAGTTCCCCCCACAGCTGGGACCAGGCCAGATCCTGCAGGGAATGTGATGGATTCCCATCCCCCAACCCTGCCCTTGGTGCTGCCGAGCGGAGCAAGAGGAGGAGTCGCTGCTGATCCATATGTTGGAGCCTTGGGAACAGCAGCTCCAAAGGATAACCAGGAAGGGCTCTGCTTGCAGCTCCAGGACAGCAGAAGATGGGTCAGAGTCACAAGTGCAAGAAGACTGAGGCACCTGCTGCTGGGAGCACCTTATCCCAGCACTGATCCTGCTGGAGCCAGGGGAAGGACAGTGGGAATGCTGCGTCATTTCCATGGAGATGAGGAGTTGTTGGGCTTCCTTAGGGGATAAACTTCAGCCTATGGAAGTGGGATAAGGTTAAGGGTTGGAAATGGGGGTGAGGGAAGAGTGTTCTGGGAGCTGCTCAGGAACCAAACCCCGTGTGCAGGGGGCTGGAGCCCCTCAGGGGGGCTCAGTGATCCAGTGCTGGGGCTAAAGATCTGCTGTTCTTTGGCTGCAAATCTCTCTTCCTGAAATATGTGGATTTTGGGAATCAACCTTGTGCTTTTGCTCTGGCAGAGGTGCTGCCAGAGCTGCTCTGTGAACCCTCCTGTGACAGAACGCAGGTGGCTTTATACCAAGATGCTCCAGCAGCACTGAGCTGGCCAGTTTGTCTCTCCCTAGATCTGAGCAGGGAGGTTTGGGGGATCAGGCTCAGCACCCTCACCCCACTCCTGGAAAACTCTTCCTCCTTTCTCTGGCAGATCTTCACAGAAAAAAACAGCTGGTGCTGCTCCAGATGTTGCTCACACAAACATACTGTGCCAAAGAGCCAAACCTCGGTGAGATGGCAGCGATCTGTCCTTTTCCATCAGGGCTTGACCTTGGAATGGGAGAAACTTGATGCCACCTGTCACCAAGATCCTGAGTAAATCCCCCCTTGGCCATGTTGCTTTCCTCCCAGAGCTGCTGTGGGGCCCAGGGTGGGTTCCCTGGGGCTGGGCAGGTTGGTGTCCCTGTGTTTGTCCTGGTGTTGCTCCCAAATTTTCTGACTGTTCCGTTCCTGCATCAGACTGTGGATGGTCCCAGTAGGGTCAGCAGTGATGAGCTGCATTAGGATCAGCTTGGCTTCTGGGGCTCTCCCTGAGGGTACTTCTGCTGCTTTTCCCTCCTGAGCAGCACCTGGTTGTCCCAGGAGACCTGCCTGGATGGGATGGACACAGGTCTGTAGTGCGCTGGGATCCAGCCGGGATCCAGCTCCTCCAGCACATTCTGTGGTGGATGTGGATTCTGCAATTCCCTGGCAATAGCCTTGCTCTTCTCAACTGTGGCTTGTAGGCACCTCGTGAGGAACATCCACACCATCCTCAGGGGCCTGGAGTTTAGAAGATCCAAGATCTCCAAGTCCAAGTTCTCGTGGGACCTTCTGCCAGATAGGGTCTTTCCCACATGTGAGCTGGGGGTGATTTTGGGTGGTTATGATCATGTGGTGCTGGATCTCACCCAGCTGCAGCCTGGCCCCATCTCCATGGCCGTTGTCCTGCTCCAGGCAGATCCAGGTGGAAGCTGAGGGCCTGGCCTTGCTGAGATGAGCACCGCCAAGGAGGGATTTTTGTTGTGTCATCACCCTCAGGATTTTAAAATTAAGAATAAGAATCCACACATCGGTGCCTCTTGTCCTGCTATCACCATCTCCACGAGGAGCCTGGCTCCTTCCTGGAGAGCATTCCCAAGCTGCCCCAGCATCTCCTGGCTTTTCTCTGGTACCTCCATCCCTGCTTTTGAGGTGCTGGGGAGCCCCACACTGGGCACAGGGTGGTCTCAAAGGGCTGTAAGGAGAGGAACAGTCTCCTCTTCCCTCACCAGTGGTCATGGGGATTCCTGTGTTCATCCCAACGCTTTGAGCCCCAAGAGTTCCTTTAGTTTTCCACCTTTTTGTCCAATTTTCTGGAAGATGTGGATGTTGGGGTTGCTCCAGAGTTCTGCATGTCAACAACAAGGTGGGATGTGTTTAGCTGTACTGGAAGGGGTTGGCACCTGCCTTTGGAGGGAGGAGCTGAGCCCACCTGACGTGTTTGGTCAGACCAGTGCTCCAGGAAGCCAGTGCTGGGATGATAGGACCTGCTCCCTCAGCAGAGCAGTGGGAAGGATGTCTCCCGTAGGAGCTGCGTGGTTTGAGGAAACATCTTGGTGCAGTTGGACCTGGAGATGTGGTGGATTGGGCTCAGCAGGCAGGGGAGAGCATGGCCAAGGCCCTGTGGGTTTTGTGGAATCAAGGATCACACCTGTGGTTAACCTGGAGAGTACTGCCCTGTGTTCCATGGCTGCACGGAGGAGGGATCTGGGATATTCCACATCCAGCTCCTCACCTGAGCTGGTGGGAGAACAGCAGAACACCCATTTCTGGGGTGCTTTGATCGTTTTGCTGCTGCCAGGGTGGGCAGGAACAATCCCTCCCTCTGCTGGAGCCCAGCAGGTGCTGCTGCTGCCCCAAAGGCTCCAGGGCTGCTGGGGCTGGGACCTCCTCACTCCTCTGCTTCTCCTTCTTTGTGACCCCCCTCTCCTTCCACGGCCCTTCCCTGTCCCCCACTTCTGCCCAGCCCCGGTGGATGTGTCCATCCCCTGGACCTGGGATCGGCTGCTGCTGCTGGATCCAGCAGGCTGGAGGTGATGGACCTTCCCCTTGGGAAGTGGCAAAAGCCCCTTGGGACCCCTCAGAGCCCCTTCCTGGGGGACTGCCCCTGTCCTTCCCTCCGTTGTCTCCTCTGCATCCCCCCAAATTTGGGCTCTCCCCGAGCCCTTTCTGCCCAGTTCCTTCTGGGGCAGAGCTGCTGGAGGAGGCATCAGTGCCATGGGGATGGGACCCCCTGGAGCTGCAGGGCCCCACCAGCACAACCCGAGGTCTGCCCCCTCCTGCCCAAATTCATCCTCAGGGATGCTCTTCCAGGGACAGCAGGAGTGGGGGATGTGCCCTGGGCCCCCCAACTGCCACAGGGACCTCAAGGGAACCTCATGACCCGTTCCCCCCTTTCTGCTGTGTTTTTGGGAGCTCCCCTGGCACTGCAGGGCCTGCAGCTGCCCCTTCAGCTCAGTGCCATTGGAGTGGGGTCCCGGAGGGGAAATTATACCAGGGCCCTCTCTCACCACGTAACTCCCTCCCCAAAATGCTTTTGTGGTCCCAAAAAGCTTTTCTGTTCCCAAAAGCTTCCCGCTGGAAGTTGGTCAATGGTGGCCTGTCCTCGTGGAGGTGAGGGAGGGTCCCTTCCTTCGCCTTTCTAGGGGTTGGGATTACATTTTTTTGCCCAAACAGTGTCATTTTGGTCCCAGTTGAGCCGTGGTGGCCTGGCAGGAGCGGGGCGTGGGGGAAGGGAGGTCACGGGGGTCTGTCCTCCCCCCCTCAGTTGAGCTCTGTGCTGGTTGGAGGAGCTGCAGCTTCTCCTCCTCAGCCAAGGTCACTCGTGGTGGCCTCGAGTCACCCCTGGGGGGGACACTGTGGATGGAGGGCACATGGCCATGTGTGAAAGACCCCTAGGATGAGCTGGGTTGGGGCAGGAGGGTGCATTTTTTGGGGTCAGGAGTTGATTAACCTGGCCTGGGGCTGCCCCAACCAGCACTGGCAAACTCAGTGCAGGGGGGAGGACGGGGGGGTCACGCCGAGAGTGGGGCATCCGGAGAGTGGGGTCCCCATGAGACTGGGATCCCCCCGAACCTGGGGTCACCCCAAGAATGGGGTCATCCCAAGAGGGGGGTCACCCCAAGAGTGGGGACACTGCACTGGGAGCTGCCAGGACCCCGGGGGACAAGGGGCTGGAAAATCCTGGGGGTCCAGGGAGCGTGGGGTGGGTGTGGGGTGGATTCCCAGGTGGCAGCTGTGCCGGGGGGATCCCCAGCCCCTCCTGTCCTGCAGTCCCTTGGGGAGGCCCCCCCAGCTCTGCCACAGCCTCGACACCCCGGGGGACCCCCACAGTCCCCTGAGCCACGGGGGTGCCCCCCAGCTGGGGTGCCATGGGATACCCAAATACTGGGGGGGAGGGGGTTACCTGTGGGGTGAGGCACTGACTGGGCAGGGAGGGGTGCGGGCAGTGCCCCCCCCACACTTTGGGAATGACCCCCCCAGGGTGCCACATCCTGCCCTGGCCCCCACAGAGCACCCAGGGGTGTCCCAAGCCCCTCTGGAGTGGGGGTGCAGTGGGATGCTCCCCCCCCCTCAGTCATGGGTAGGGGGGACACATGACCCCCCAAAAGGGGGGTCTCTGCTCCCCCCCAATCGCTGACACGAGTTCACCAGATCTCAGCAGCACCCCCTCCTCTCAATTTTGGGGGCGCCCTCCTTGGGGGGTGGGTGTGCCCTTCTTGGGGGGGGGGCGGGGGAGGTGGGAGCAAGTTGGGGTTCACCCCCCCATCCCCAAAACCCCCGTCCGTTCCCATGGCAACGCCGGATGCGCGGGGAGCCGCCCATTGGCTGCCGATGATGTCACCTCCAGGGCGGGGCACCCCACCCCAAAAAAAAGGAGAGGGTGGGGGAGGGGAGCTCCGCCCCACGCGGCCCCTCCCCGCCCGTGGGGGCCCCACCCCGCCCCACCCGGCACCGCCCCGGGGGCAGCGGCGGCGGCGGCGGCCGGGGATGCGCTCGGAGGAGTCGGCGGGAACGGTGAGGGGGGCACCGGGGGGGCCACCGGGGGGTTCGCGCGTGGGGTCTTTTGGGGTGGGATTTGGGGGGGGGGAGGGTGGGACGTGAACGCGGGGATGGTGGGGAGGAGGCGGTCGTGGGTGGGGGAGGGTCCGAGCCCTCCCCCCCCATGTCCCCCTCTCGCTCCCCTTTCCCCCCCAGGCGGGGGTCGCGCGTGGGGTGTCCCCCCCCACGCGCCACACGCGCTTCCGCGGAGGGCGCCCCCCTGCGGCCGGGAGGACCCCTCGGGCAGCCCCGCCCGGCCCTCCCCCTCCCACGCCCTTTGCTCTTAAAGGGACAGCCCCCCTTTTTTCGCCTTGACCCCCTCCTGTCCCCCCCTTCCTGTTCCTCCCTCGTGTCCCCTCCGCTGGGTGTTCCCCCTCTTTGTATTCCCGCCTCTCCCCCCGCGCCGTGTCCCGAGCGGAGGGTGGAGCGCGGAGGAAATTCCACGGGGGGGTGTGGCGGTGGCGGCGGGGCGTGACCCCCCCACGCCCACGGGTGGGGGACCCCGGGGGGTGGGGACACGCAGGGGACAAAGAGGGGGAGGGGTGTGGAAGGCGTTCTCCTCCCCCCTGCCAAGGTCACCCCAAATCCATCTTTAAGCTGTTTAGGGCGAAAGGTGGGGGGGGCTGATTATTGCAAAAGAAGGGGTGAACGGCACCCCCCGACATGTGGGGTGGGGAAGGGGGGTCCCACAGTTCCCCCTCGCCACGCCTGGGTGAGGCTGGGGTGTGCTTGGGCTGAGCACTGAGGAATTCAATTCACTGATGATGAGGGGATTGGGCAGCGAGGCTGGAATTTGGGGGAGCAACGACCCCCTGCTCCATCTCACCCCCCCACCCCCCCGGGTCTTTGGGGTGCAAGAGCACCCCCAAAAATGGGTTGGGGAGGGTCTCCCGGGGGAGGAAGGGGCGCCCCTTTGTTCCCCCCCCCCATGACCCTGTTTGTGGGGACCCCTCGCGCATGGGGGGTTGGTTTGGGGGCCCTGGGAGGGCTCTGGGAGCGTGTTGGGGGTCCCCGGGGGGGGGGGAAAGAGCAGTTGTGTGTCTGTCTGGGGGTGTTCCCTGGTGTGTTTTGGGGGGGGTCTG